AGGTGCAGCAGAACCTGGAGTGGCACCGGCTGCCCCAGAAGGTCAGGGCCACCTCAACCCCAGCCCTAGAAGGACTCAGGCCTCCACCCAAGCAGAGGCAGCACCAGGCCTCCAGGGTCACAGACACAGCAGAGCAAGTGGCTGCAATCTTCTGGGCCTGTTTCCACTTAGCAAACTGGGGATACCTGTACCCACCTCTCACTGTAGTTGCAGGAAGCAAAATGACAGATTAGTATCACCCGGGTAGGAGTAGGAGCTTAGGTTAGTATCAGCAGGCAGAGTTGTTACACAGGTATTCTGCCACTGAGGCCAGCCCTGTGGCTCCTGGGTCCCCAGAGTCAATTCCAAATTCCTGACAGTGACTTTCCTGTCCACCTGTGCAGCTTCCTCTCTCCCAACTAGGCCACTGCCCAGCCCAATGGCCTCACTGGCCTCAGCCCCTTCAGCAAAGCTGCCTGTGGTCTGAGTGAACAATGTGGTGATTGCGTTTTACGTGAGGACTCAGAACTTGGATGGTCATAGCCTGACAATCACCGGTGGTCCTGGCGGAGGACATTCTGATCCCTCGCCCCTTGAATTCTTTTGTTTTTAGTGCTGGTCTGACCCACTCAAGTGATTCACATTTTCACTGCCTGATGAGTCTCAACCAGCCTGCTCCAGTGTTGACCAGGCCTGAGGCTCTTTCCCTTAGTCTTCCCTCTGGGTCACCCCAACTTCCTGGGGCAGACCCCTTCTCGACCCATCGCCACTGGCCGTCCCCCTTTGGTGGCCATGGGGACAAAGGCACTGAGCTCGTACTTTCACAGCGACCATCCTGTGCAAAGCTCCTCACCTGCCCCTGACCTCAGGGATCCTGAAAGACAGGCCAGAATCTTGGTCCCCATGGTGACCACCGTCCCATGCCCCTGGACACAGGCACATCGGAGCTTCTGGCCAGCCTGGGATGGCTTGGGTTGGGAGCTGAGTGGATAGAGCACCTTGCTTCCCTCATTCACTCATCCTGCTCTTGCCCACCGGCCCAGCCAAAGCCCCTTGGCTGTGAACACAGGTCCCCGGCAGCAGAGTCCGTAGACAGTTGCCCTGGGTCCTTACACCCATAACAGGTTTGCCAAGAAAAAATGGGTGTGCAGCAGAGATGGCTGGGGGCTTGGGGGCAGCACCCCTGCCCTCCAGCCAAGGTCTAAGGCCTTCTCCAGGGGAGCCCCCAACCTGCTCCCATAGGCCTTTGGGGCAGGTCCTGGCCATGCACTCACTGAGTGAGTTTCCTCCTGCCCAACCAAGTTTTCTGTCCTCTTTGGCCCAGTAGGCCCTGGAATTCTGGCCCCAAGTCCCAGGTCCCCTCAAGTTCTCTTCTGTCCAACCTGATTCCTCCCCTCCTCCCAGAAGCACGCTGATTTCCCTCCCTGCTTCTGACCAGTCCTATCTGAGAGAGAACTTCCCACATGGCCCTGCTCAGCCTGGGGCAGGAGAAAGTGGAAGACATGGGGTGAGCTCCCTTCTAGAACCATGGGCAGCTAGCTCTGGACTTGGAGGTCCCTCCTCCCACACTGTCCCCAAGTGGGTCTCAGTGAGGAGCTGCACCACAGAGGCATCCCCAGACCCCCTACACTTGGACACAGCTGGAATGGGGGTTGCCACAGCATAACAGGAAGAGGTGGGTGGGAACAGCTGTTTATTTGAGGCACCAAAGAAGCAGGAGGGCTCCAGTGTGGGGGTGTGGGGTGGGGCATGGGTGGGTGCTACTGCTGGATTGGGGGTGGGAGCTGATTCCCAGGTCCACAGTGGAGACCTGGAGGCGGCTATTGAAGTGAGTGGAAAGTGAAGTACAGAAATGCATAAGACCGGGCTCTGGTGCTGGAGCTCAGGGCTCTAGGGCTGCTTACCCTCACCCATCCCCCAAGCACGGCCAAAAGGGCTATACAGACATACCTGTCCATACAGCTGGGTGTCCACACCCACAGCATGTTCCCCCTTCCAAGCCACTGTCTAGGATGGGCAGGGCCTGGATGGGGACACGGCCTGGGGCTTAGGTACCCCTCCCAGTGTGTCCCAGTGATGCAGCTATGACTGCTGGACCCACAGGCTCCAGGAGGACCCTAATTTGAGGAAGGTCACATCATTGACTCTGGAAGTGAGGGCAGCTGGCCCCTCTGGGGGCAGGTGTAGGTGCAGGGGACAGGCCTGATGGTGGGGACTGAGGCCGAGGGGGTGGGATCAGGCAGGGTGAGGAGTCGAGGGGTCTGGCTGGGGCTGGGCTTTCCTTCCTGAGCTGTGGGAGTCAGGGCCCGGCACAGGGTCCAGGTGGTCAGGGGCAGAGCCGCAGCAGAGCTGACAGCAGGCTGAGCAGGAGCCCGAGGCCAAGCACGGTGGTGCTGGCCCGCAGCCCGCCATCAGCTGCGCTGATGTTGCACAGGAAGCTCTGGCAGCAGTGGGTGCCCATGGATGCCACACCGATGTTGATGCTGGGGGGCGCAGGGCAGACTGGGGAGCAGCCCTTGTTCAGGCTGTGGCCAAAATCCACAATGTTCCCTGCACCGGAAAAGGAGGGTGAGTGGAGAGGCAGCAGGGACAGGATGGGGTGGGGGGAGGCCTGACTGCCTGGCCAGCACTCACCGACGCCAGCAGCGGCAGATATGGTCACGCAGTAGTTGTCAGAGTCAGAGCAGATGGTGGGCTTCAGGCAGTAGAAGTTGCTGTTCTGATTCGTGCAAGAGAAGCACACCAGGGAGTGGGCTGTGGAAGAAGGGGAGAGGCTGCAGAAGATATCCAAGTGCAGGGTGTAGGGGCAGGAGGCAGGAGGAATGGCTTGGAGGGGGAGAGGGGCCTCCCAGGTTGCACAGAACAGGTCACAGAGAGACAGGCTCGACGGATGTGTGGACACTACTCGGGAGAGAGGGGTAGAGGGAATCCAGGAGGAGAGCACAGCCACCCAAAGGCAGGGGCCCCAGGGCATCTCACCTTGTTCCACACCCAGAAGGGCCGCCAGCAGTACGGGCAGGAAGACCTTCATTCTGGGGGGCACAGGCTCCTGTGTAGGTCTCACACGCTAAGAAAGCCTCCTGCTTTGAAGAGACACAGCTGGTTGGAGGCTGGGACCCTGGCTCCCACCAGCACAAGTAGCCTGGTGACCCCACTTGTAGGGGGGCTGCAGCTTCTAGCAGTAGAAAGGGAACATAGGGCCCTTCTGCTCCATCCTTCTCTCCTCATGCAGTGCGGACTCCTAGCTAAGACCCCTCCCCAAACCTGTGGCTCTTGCTGCTGGGGGTACAGCATCAGTAGAGACCAAGGGAAGACAGAGTGGCTGCCTGTGGTCCTGGGGGTGGGGGATGGTGATCAGAAATGCTAACTGGCTTCTAGAACTTACCACAGGCCAGCTCCACGCTTGCCATGGGGACCCAGGGGCTGAGCTGAGCACCTGCTTAGGGCAGCTTTGGCAATGGGGAAGCTCAAGCCTTCTGTGTGTTACTGAATGCTGGAGACCATGACCCCATAAGGACCTGCTATTCCCCAATTTCATGGCTGGGAAACAGGCTCAGGGAGAGCCAGTGGCATGTTACAGGTGGGAATGGGCACAGGTGAGTTTCCGCCTGTGAGTGTGAGTCAGTGGGGGCTGCCCTGTGCCTTCCGACCCAGTGGGCAGAGACCAGTAGCAGTGGGTGGAAAAAGCACTTTGAATGTAACTAGCTGAGGTTCTGGTCTGGTTTAGTAGGAGGCACAAAGTGGGAGGAGGAGTATGGTGCCTTTTTCAGGGGGCAGCTGTGGGCAGGGGAAGAGCATTCCCTGCCTGGGGAGGCAGTTTCTAGGCACTGGGAGGAAGAAAGAGAACAGGCTTCGGGAGAGGTTGGTGGTGCCCCTGAGAATGGGCCCCAAGCCTCTCCTGCCCAGCCCTGGAGTGGGTGGACATGCCAGGCCCAGCTGGGACCTGTCCCTGGATCCAGGTGGGTGGGCGGAAGAAGCCTGTTTCCCCGTCTTCCCTGAAGTGAGGTTTGGGCGTGGAGGAGCCCTGAGCTGTCCTCAGGGAAGCTCTGGTATTCACAGCCACGAACAGTCCCACCCAGTATCCCAGCAGCCCCAGCAGCCCCAGCAGCCCAGCAGCCCCAGCAGCCACGAACAGTCCCACCCAGTATCCCAGCAGCCCCGCAGCCCCAGCAGCCCCGCAGCCCCGCAGCCCCG